GGACAAGAAAGATGGCAAAGACGTGGAGACTTGACTATTAGAGCTTACTGTCACTCATAAGGTTTTCTACAGTGAAGAGGAAAGCCGGAGAAGGAGAAAAGGCCTGAGCAGGTTCATGTTCAATGCCCTAGAGCTTAGATACTGTAAGCATCTGGTGAATATGATGAGATCCATGGTTTAGACTTTTGGGGGCAGGAATGGGAAAATTGAATTGGATTTTTGAAATATGGGAGCAGAGAAATAATTCGGGAGGTTTACTACTGTTGCTGTTACAGAAGTATCAGTGTCTCAACAAAGACAGCAGCAGAGGAGACTGAGTGACGAAAACAATGAAAAGGTATTCACTCTGACCTCAAAGAAGCCCACATGGCTCTCTGGGTTTGGTTTTGGGTTGCTAACAGCAAAATCAGAGAGAGGTACAAAGTCACCAGAATTGGAATGGCTCTGAAAGATGAGCATGTCTGCTCCTGTAAAGAATTCAGTTCCCTGAAACTCTACGGAGGGGTCTCTGCGAGGCTGAATCCACATGATGGCAACTAGATCAAGAAGCAACATCACAATCAACTGAAAAAGACCAAGGTTGTTAAAGATATAAGTTTGCTTAGATCCAGAATCAACATCCACTGAAGCAGCAAAAATCCACAGAAGCACTAAGTTGTAAAAAAATCAAGTAGCATATTGCATTGGGAAAATCGGTGGCAAAAAATCTCTCTAAACTGTTAAAAAAGCAAAGCTGTCATTTGGGGAACTAAGGTGCACTTGATTCAAGACATAACGTTTCTTTTTTTATCATTTTATTGGGGGCTCATACAACTCTTTTCACACTCCATACATACATCAATTGTATAAAGCACATTTGTACATTGGTTACCATCATCATTCTCAAAACAGCTGCTCTCCACTTAAGCCCCTGACATCAGCTGCTCATTTTTCCCCCTCCCTCTCCACTCCTTCCTCCATCATGAACCCTTGATAAGCTATAAATTATTATTTTTTCATATCTTACACTGTCCCATGTCTCCCTTCACCCACTTTTCTGTTGTCCATCCCCCAGGGAGAAGGTTATATGTAGACCCTTGTAATCGGTTCTCTCTTTCCACCTCACCCTCCCTCCACCCTCCTGGTATCACCACTATCACGACTGGTCCTGAAGGGATCATCCATCCTGGATTACCTGTGTTTCCAGTTCCTATCTGCACCAGTGTACATCCTCTGGTCTAGCCAGATTTGTGAGGTAGAATTGGGATCATGATAGTAGGTGAGGAGGAAGCATTTAGAAACTAGAGGAAAGTTGTATGTTTCATCGTTGCTACACAGCACCCTGACTGGCTTGTCTCCTTCTGGCCACCCTTCTGTAAGAGGATATCCAGTTGCCTAAAGATGGGCTTTGGGTCCCTCCTCCGCACTCCCCCTCATTCACAATGACATGATTTTTTGTTCTTTGATGCCTGATATTTCATACTTTTGACACCTCGTGGTCACACAGGCTGGTGTGCTTCTTCCATGTGGGTTGTGTTATTTCTGAGCTAGATGGCTGTTTGTTTACCTTCAAGCCTTTATGACCCCAGATGCTATATCTTTTGATAGCCAGGCACCATCAGCTTTCTTCACCACATTTGCTTATGCACCCATTTTTTCTTCACCTATCATGTCGGGAAGGTGAGCATCAAGGAATGCCAGTTTAATAGAACCAAGTGTTCTTGCATTGAAGGAGTACTTGAGTGGAGGCCCAATGTCCATCTGCTCCCTTAATACTAAACTTATAAATATATGCACATAAATCCATTTCCACATCATTATATATAAATATATTTACATATGTACATGCCTTTATTTAGACCTCTATAAATGCCATTTGCCTCCTAGCTCTGTCCTTTATTTCCTCTTAGCTTCCTCTTGTCCCACTATCATGCTCAGCCTTCATTTGAGTTTCAATAATTCCTCTTGGTTATATTACCCTTGGTCATGCCCTACCAGGCCTCCTACACCCTCATCACCAATTTGGATCACTTGTTGTTCCCTTGTCCCTGGGTTTGTTAACACCACTTCTTTTCCCCCACCTCCTCCTCCTCTCCCATGTCCCCCCAGAACTGTCGGTCCCATTGTTTTCTCCTCCAGATTTTTCGTCCAGTCTATCTTATTTAGAAAGACCTTCAGAGATAATAACGTGCACAAAAACAAGACAGAGCAAAACCAAGCAACAAAAGAAAACGAAACAACAACAATAACAAAAAGCCAATGACAAAAACAAAACAAAAAACACAACACAACAACCAAAAGAGAAGAGCTTGGAGTTAGTTCAAGGACTGTTTGTTGACCTTTACAAGTGTTTTCCAGTTGAGTAAGATAGGGTGCCAAGCCCTGGCCCCTAAGTCTATTTTTGGTATTTCCTGGGGACTTCATCGCTCCGTTCCCCTTGCTGTTCTGTTGCACGCCCTTAGTGTTTTGCCTTCGTGTGGTGGGATCAGATCGGGCACAATTCCCACACTGTGTCTCAAGACATAGTGTTTCAATCACTTCATATGCATGTGAAAATTAGAAAATGAAGACCAAAGATGTCTTTGAATCAATTCAAAGTGTCGCAGAAGAATATGGCATATAGAGAGACTGTCAGTAGAATGAATAAATCTGTCTTAGAAGAAGTACAGAAGTGAGAATGGTGAAATTTAGTGTCTCATACTATGAACGCGTTACACAGAGGGTACCAGTGCTTGGAGAAGGACATGTGCTTTGGTGACGTGGAGGGTCAGCAAAAAAGAGAAAGCCACTCAGTGGGTTGGATTGACATAGTGGCTCCAAGCATAGGAAGCACTGTCAGGATGGAATAAGACTGTGACGTATTTCCTTCTGTTGGATATGGGATCAACACTAGTTGGAATCAACTCAATGACACCCAACAACTCTGTCCTCAGCTTCTACTTGAAAGGCTAGAGGTTCAAGCTCACAAGTCACTCCTTGAATGAAAGGTATGACAGTCAGATTCCATAAATAGTACAGCTATGGCGAAGTTCTACTCTGTCCTATGAGGTTGTTATGAGTTTAAATAAATTAGATCGCAATGGGCTTAATTTTTGTTTGGTGGGTTGACTTTTTATCTTGCTTTTCATAACTTTGCCTCTATGGGAATTATACCTGTTACTAATGATCCAGATGTTTTCAGTTAGAAAAATATATATATTGTTATTAATCTGTGCAAGATATTCCTTATTTTCCTATTACATTCTTACACTGAAGGTTGTCTAGACGTCTAGTTGGCTACAACTCATGGTGAACACATGTACAATAGAACCAAATGTTGCCTGGTGAAGCAGCATCTTCATAATCTTTGGTATGTTTGAGCCCGTGCCCTCTATCTTACCAAACCAAGTGTTCTCCAGCAATTGTTTCTTCTTTATGATTTATATAAAGCAAGATAATTAAAGTCTTAAATAATATCGTATTATTCATAGCACTGTCACTAATAATTTTCGCAAGTAGATCACCAGGCCCTCCTTCCCGTGCCTCTCTTAGGCTGGAAGGTCCCCCTGAAATCAGCCCATCAACGGTGACACTGCTGGTATTAAAATCCCAGTGGTAGAGCTTACAGCGTCATATTAACATGAAAGGCACCACAGCATGTCAAACTGACAGGTCGTGGGTATTCTTATAGAAATGGTTATTGTGCAACAAGGAATCTGAGGCACAAAGAGAGGAAGCAATGTGCCCAAGGTCACACAGCTGGTCAGCAGCAAAGACAAAATACAAACCTGTTTTGTCTGAGGCTGATGGTCTTTCATCCCCACCCACTGCCATACAATTTCCTGTTGTTCTCATTCTCTTTGACTCTTGGCCTTTGAATCTGCATCAATTTTCCCCCTCCTTTGTTTCCTAATCTTCCCGACTACCATGCAACCTAAAGCCTTCCAAGTGTGGAAGGACTTAGATAGCCATCTGCTCGTTAACCATTTTGTCTTTAGATCTCAGCCATTTGCTCTCTGTGCCCTCTAAATTTCCTCCCACTAACTACTCTACTCTCAAATACACAGAGATTCCTCTAGCCTCCTTTTTGCTATGCTCATCAGAGTACCCTATAATTGTACTTTATATAGATACCATTCCTTTCTTCTTGAAACGACCCTTCACCTTCATTTCTCACGTGCAGCAACACTCAGTTCTCCCCGTAGGCCCCCATTCCACACCAGAGTTCCTCCTTTCTCATTTGCCAGTCTGACTTCTACATTCTGGATAGAGGTGTGTGTTTTGTTTGTTCTCTACTGCTCTCTTTCATGATGGTCCTATTTATTTACCTTCCGTGTTCAAATGTTAATTATCGTAGTAGATTGTATCTATCTCTCAGTCTTCACTTCTCACTAATATTTCAAAGGTCCATAAAAACTTCACGTGGGGCATTCCTGCGTCGATAGCTTACTGCCAAGTTAGGTTCTGCACATGAAAGCAAGCAGTTGCACTTGAGTCTCATTTGCAGCAACCTCATGTGCTCAGCAGGTGATTTTTCAGAAGGAGATTACCAGTGCTTCTGGATGATCTGGAACCACCCATCATTCAGGTAGCAGCCAAATGTGATAGCTGCTTGCACCACCCACGGACACGATTTTCCATCCTTCTCCCTGAAAATACTTCTTCCTCATTGAAACAGTCACCTCACAGTGGCTCCTTTTGAAAACTTCCAAAGAAGATACAGAAAGGATTCATTCTGCTGCTAGTCAAAGTCTTTTGCATGGTTCCCTTCTCCCTAATTGCCTAGATTTCATTGTCTGTGAAAATATATGCCTGGCCAGTATTTGCTGCTATTGTGGTTAGGCGCCATCTAGTTAGTTCTGATTCATAGTGACCTGGTCACCTGAAATGTAGGTACTTCCTTTTGGATACTGGGGGACAATTTGCTGACATGGTGAGTTACCTGTTGGGCTACTAACTGCAAGGTCTGCTCTTCAAAATCACCAGCTACTGCATGGGAGAAAGATGAGGCTTTCTACTCCTGTCAAGAGTTACAAGCTCAGACACTTACCTGGCAGGGAAGACACCACGATCGGGAAGGTGGTTTTCCCAGGGCGAGGCTCATCCACTGCACTGCGGGTGTGCTGACCCCTGTGATTTTCCCAAAGGTGGGAAACTCGACTGCATAACTTGTGGTAGTGGGGGACTGTTAGTGCTCTCCCCTGCAAAAGAAAGAAAAGAAAAACAGAGTTACAAGCTCTGAAGCCCAAAGGGGTAATTCTACCCTGCCTTATAAGGTTGCGACGAGTTGGAATTGTCTCTAATGCAATGAGTTTGGTTTTGTTTGAAAGAAAGAGAAGTTTTTATCTAGAAGGTATACCAGCTAGGAAACCGCAGCAGTGCAAATAGACTGTCTTTGTGACGTCTGGTTTGAAATAAGACTATATAGAGAATATATACCTCAGGTTTTGAGTTATACTTTGGAAGCCACATATAGATATTTTACATTAACTTAGGTTTCAGGATAACACAGGAAACAATTGTTGCCTATGAGCAAGCAAACAAAACATTGAGGTTTCTAAGTCTTAGGCCAGTCTCCATTATGTCTTTTTTCACAGCCCTCACTCATTGCCACTGACATTAGGGTGAGTAACATTGACCCTTCAGGCAGGGTAGAACTGTCTCTGTGGGTTTCCAGGACTGTAAATCTGTATGGGAGTAGAAAGCCTCATTTTTCTCTAAAGGAACGGCTGGTGATTTCAAACTGCTGATCTTGAGGTTAGCAGCCCATCTCATAACCACTATGCCACCAGGGCCCCTATAACTAGACAGCAGGTCCTGCTTTACAATTGCCAACAGGTAAATAAGAGAAGACTCTCGGCATTATCTGGCCCTTCGAGGTGACATCCGTGACTAACCTGTCTTCGTTTGAGCAATGGGGTGAGTTACAAAGATTCCCTGGAGACTGCACAAATAAAGTACCTTAAAGTAACTGCATTTTGGAAGGGGTATTTTTCTAACTACAGTAAGTAAAATAACTTGGGCTCCAACCCTCTATACAACCAAAAAAAAGAAATCATTGCCTGGTTAAACACCATCCTCACAATTGTTCCCATGTTTGAACCTATTGTTGCAATCATTGTGCAAGTTTACAGAATTAAAAGTGAACCCCAAGTGTGACAGTTCCTTTAACAAATTACACAGGAAATTACCATAAGATCAAGCAATCCCACTTCTAGGTCCTATATGCACAGAAATAAAGAAGGAACTCAAATCAATTCTTGGGGTGACAATGCTCACTGCAGCATTACTTGGCAGTGATCAAAAGGGGGAAGCTGTCTAAGAGCCTATCAACAGAAGAATAGCCAGGTTCCCAAGTTTAATGGCCAACCACTCCCTTTTCTGAAAGGAAAACATAACAAAAAAATACTCAGCACTATCTTGACAATTAAATATCTTTGTTCAGTGGGGGTTGGGGTGGGGAGGGGGTAAAGGGGAGCTTACATTAAGAGGGAATGTTTTGAAACTGATTGTAGTAGCAATTTTACAATACTGCTTGATGTACTTGAACTATGGAATGATATATGTATTATCACCCAATAAAATGGCTTTAAAAAAAATACCTTTGTACTATAGCTCTTAATCCAGGGTAGTGCACATATCTAATTATGCAGTCCCCCTGGATCATTCCAGCACCCCTTCCAGGGGGAGGTAACCCCTATTTTGGGAAACGCTGTATGGTACATCCATAGAATGGAATATTTTTCATCCATAAAGAGAAATGAAATTCTAGTATGTGCTGAAACATGCATGAACCCCTCAAAGCATCATGCTGAGTGAAATAAGTCACATGGAAGAAGACAAAGATTGTAGGATCAATCCCACTTTTATAAAACATTTAGAATATGCAAATAGAATATATATGGACCAAAGTTTATTAGCGGCTATCAGGCAGAAGGGAGCAGGATTTTACATTTAAGGCACACAAAGTTCTGGTAAAAGGTGATGTTATAATTTGCAAATCCTTTAAGGGTGGTGATTGAACAATAATTAACATGTCACTGAATTGTCCATGTGGAGAATACTGAAATGTATGCGTTTGGCTGCAGACATTTACCACAATGTAGAAAAAAGAAGAAAATTAGTAACTTCAGTGAACGCCTTCTCTGTCGCGCTCATTGAAAGTGTGGAATGGGGTTTGACATCATTGACAAGGTGCATGGTAGAAGCAACAATGGGCTCAAACACAAGAACGATTCTGAGGAGGGCATCGGCCCCTGCAAGTGGTATTTCATGCTGTGGTCCACAGGGTCTCTTTGAGTCAGATAAAAGTGCTTTGGATTTGAAAATAATTATTTTTTCAATAGTGACCACTGCTAGGGATGCCAGGAGAAAAAAAAAACGCTATTCCCGCTGGATCTATCTCTGCCCAGAGCTGGTAGTCAGATCCCTAGAGTGCAGGTACTTTGTTCTCGGTTAACCCGGGAGCCCTCAAAGCTGGTAAGATAGAAGGAAGGAACAGTTCATCGAATCCATCATAACTACTCTGGAATCAACTAGCAACACCTCTGCAAGACCTGGGCCGGTGGACGCTGGCACTTTTTCTGGAGTGTTCGCAAGGGGCCATGCATGTGACATTGATCTGAAACACGAGTATTAAATAAATAAATTCCTTAAAGCTCAAACATTGAAATTATATGTCAGGATTTCTCCATCTATGCACAGGGACTTCTTATCTCCCAAGACTAGGCAAGTTAGGAGAAAGGACAGTGGTGTTCTTATCTTCCCTTGGCTCTGAAATGGGAATTCCCACAGAATCGGAAACAAAGGAGGAACAACCCTCAAATGTGACTGTTTCTGATCGTTTCTTGTAGGGGAGGATGGGGAGGAGGAGGAGCCATCCAAGTTCACAAACCTCTCTTCTACCCTACTTTTATCCAAATGGTCCTTAGGACACTGAAGAAAAACCTTTGCTTTAGAGACCCTCTCCTTTCTGCTTCCTGCCTGTCATTTCGTCGCCAGTCCTGCATCCTAAGACTGCGGGGAGAGTTCCAACTCGGCTTGCCAGGGAAGCAGGAAAGGATTGGAAGCGTGGCGACCCGGAACGCTCCGGGGCAGGTGACACCCTGAGGGCTTCCCTGGCTCTGGTTTGACAGTTTCCTCCCCGCCCACTGGCAGGAGCGCCTGGCGGCTGCAGGCGCGCGCGCAGGGACCATAAAAGCTCTGGCAGCCGCTGGGGACGCACAGCTCGCCCGCCTCTGCAACGCTGCGGCCGCGACATGCACGTGAACGGCAAAGTTGCGCTGGTGACGGGCGCGGCCCAAGGGATCGGCAGAGCCTCTGCAGAAGCGCTGCTGCAGAAGGGCGCCAAGGTAAGCGAGGCGAGCGGCCCCAAAACTTTGCCCTGGTGGGACTCGCCGGAAGGCTCCCCCGCACCCTTTCCCCGGGAGATTGGAGGATTGTGCCCAAAGTGCCCACCTTGCCACTCCAGAAAGCTGCTGAGGTTCCGGGGCTTGAACAGATCTGGAGCACTGGCCGCGGGAGAACTCGCTCTTTCATTGTGTGCTTCCAGTTCCAAGAGGGCACGTTTTGTTTATTTATGGTTTGTCCGTCTGTCTGTCTCCCGAGCTGAACAGCACCTCTCCTCTTTTGTGTGCAGGTAGCGCTGGTGGACTGGAATCTGGAAGCGGGTATCAAGTGTAAAGCTGCTTTCGATGAACTGTTTGATGCTCAGAAAACCCTCTTCATCCAGTGTGATGTCGCTGACCAGGCACAACTGAGAGGTAAACCTGGGCGCTCAGGCCATCATCGCCTAACATGCTCTAAACAAGCAGCCCTCTGGAATGGGCAGGCACCTGGGCTGTCTTCCTGCGCAACTTCTACCTTTAAGATTCAAAAATAGGTTGGACTGTGATGTCTCTGACTGACATCCCAATCACATAAAACCTAAGGAAAGCCAAGACTTCTTGAGAAAGCCTTTTCTTTTGGTCCTTTGGCAGCACATAATGTAATCAACATTCCTTTGTATATCCAAAGACTGCTGCTACAGTAATTATTCAATGATGAGATTGCAGACTGAACTTGGAAAGTGAAAACAGGCAGAAGGACTGTTGCGAGCCACTTCTTCCAGAAAGCTGGAAGGCACAGAGGTGATGCTGGCAATCAAACGTAGCTGTGTTTTTCTTTTAAACACGTTAGAAGTTCATAATTCTGCACATGCTACACACTTTCCTCCAGATGTTCTTTGGGTTTTCCCCTGTGAGATGGAACTTAAACTAACGATAGCTAGCTAGAGGGGTCGACTGAAGAAGAAAAGTCTCCATCAAAGTCTGCTCAAGGCTTTCCTGTTTCCTTCCACTCACTTAAAATAGACCACCTACTTGTGAGATACCATGGGAAATACTGCTATAGACAATGGGCAGATTTTTTCATATATAGGCCTAAAAGGTTTACATAAAAAAAAATAGTAATTTCCCCCAGTAAAAATAAAACGTGATTTTTTTTAACATTTCCCCTTATAAATTACATGGTCCTGCAGTCGTCGAAGCACTAGGTTGTGAACTGGAAGTTCAGCAGTCTGAAAAACTGGGTTGGGGGAAAAATGTGCAGTCTGCTTCTTTCAGCATTTATAGCCTTGGTATCCCGGTGGGGAAGTTCTTCTCTGTCCTAACAGGGTCACTGTGAGTTAAAACAGACGAGGTGGCAACTGGTTTGGTGTTTTGGTTTCTATGTTTCCCAAAACATCCTTCAGAGAGATTGAATTAAATTGTTAGGGATTTTTTTAATCAAGGGGTCAATACGCTTCCATAAAATGAACTCTAGGGTGCCTGTTATTCAAGGGACATGGAGGCATGAATTCCTTATGGACTTTTAAGATGTCTGTCAGCCCCCAATAAAATGATTTTTTAAAATTAATTAATAAGAAAAAAAAAGATGTTCTGCCTGTAAAAGTAAAACTTGGTGTATTAGAAGAGAGTAGTTCTCAAATGAAATTATTTTAAAGAAAAGTATGTAACTAAAATCTGGAAATTGTAACCAAGACATACAACACCGATTACAAACATGAACAGAATCAATCCATAAACACTGCAGTGTAGTAGAACATATTTCACCGCAGGACAAGGATTTGTTGGCTTCATATGACTTATTGGGTCAATGATAGCAAGATGCATGCTGACAGAATAAAGAACAATAGAAAGCACCCGAAAGCCGTTTCTTTCTGAATGGATGTTGTTTCACATATGGCATTTGGCATTAATTGTTTTACTTCCCAGTATTGAAAATTAGTGTCTCGGCTATAATCTATTTTTTAAGGATAGGTGATTGTGGCGGAGGAAACTCAGGCGCATGAGCGAGTGGGCAGGCTCGTTTGTCGTGAGAAATCCACATGTTTTTTTGGATATCAACATTTATTTCTTCTAAGGAAAATGACACTATTTCTCTTTCATTTTCAGAATTTAATTCTGCCTGCCTACAACTTTTAAAACTGTTTATACACATGTCTTAGGTGACATCATTGAAATAAAAATATAGAGGTGCAACGGTTCTTGGAGACGATCTAGAAATAGCTTCTTTCACATGTGAATAAATTGTTAACAGAGATTAGTTAAATTATAATACAGATTGCCATACAATGTCAGGGTGAAAGCTAGACAGTACATATTAAGACACTGCAGTAGGTCAGAAATAAGAGGATGCATTATCAATTGTTTCCAATAAGCATTGGCTCTTGATGTGGAGTTTAGAAAGATAGAGCATACTTAAAACACAATACAAGAAGCATAATTTGAGTATTCCCTACTTGGTTTCTACTGAAGGACGCACACCTCAGCCAGTGTAACATTTTATGGAGCGGTCTTTAAACATCATGAGAAAGTTTGGAGTATCGTTGCTATTGTTTCCATGCAGTGCAATACATGTCCAGGCACTCGTTTGAACATCTTGATAACGCTATCCCACTAACCTGCACGGTTATTTATCTGTTTGGGAACTGATTGGCTCATGTCCTCCTAAATGTGTCTAGAGATTGTTCTTTGCTTGTTTTATTTTTGTCTCAATCAAAATGAAGTTTATGTCCACCTATTTTTTTCTTTTAAGAACTTCATATGTTGAGCTGGCGATGTGCTTGGTGAGCGAGAAAAACAGTTGACAGTTGTTATCTGTCAAATGGCTCCCGCTGAGTTACTTCTGACTCATAGTGACCCTGTTGGACAGGAGAGAGCATTTCCTTAGTGGTTCTGAGATTGTAAATATTGACCAGAGCAGATTGCCACATCTTTCTTCCATGGAGTGGCTGGTAGGTTCAAACTGCTGACCTTGTGACTAGCAGCACAATGCATAGCCTACATCACCCGAGCTGGCTTGATAAAAGTAATATATGTAGAATCCGTAGAAAGAAAACAATGGAAACTGTTTTAACTCAATAGAGCTATAGATAGTTCCTGGAATGCTAATGAGATCTAAGTGTGTCTTGCTAAGTAGAATTAGTAAATTCAGAACAGGTACATAGGCTCTTAATTTATCTTACTTTAGTGTAAGAAAGGTGTTTTAGTGACATAGTGGGTTGAGTTGGGCTAACTTCAAGATCCGAAGTTCAAGTCCGCCAGCTGCTGTGAGGGTAAAGGATAATGCTGTCTGCCCCAGAAACAAATTAAAACCCTGAAGACCGTAGCGAGTTATCACTTTTACTCCATTCTACAGGCTTACTTCAAATAGGAATCAACTTGAGGGTAATGAGTGCTAAGGGCAGTGAGCTTGGTTAGTATAATAAAGACTATGTTGCAATCATTGAAGCACTCAGCTTCCAACCCAAAGGTGACTGATTCATCTCCATCACCTGCTCTACCAGAAGTGGCAGTCCGTTCCTGAAAATATTTATAGTCTCCAAAACTTTATGGGGCAGTTCGCTTGGTTCTAGGGTGTTTTATGCATCAGATTTGATTCGCTGGCAATATGTTTAAGGGGTTGAGTTAGTGTGAGAAAAAACTTAAGAGATTTTGCAATGATACAATGGCTACAAGCACAGCAAGTGATTGGGATTGTTATGAGGAATCTAAAAGCATAGGCATTGGTTGAAGTAGGAGTTGATTTAGTCATTTCAAAATGAGGACAAATGTTCATAACATTAAAGAGAGGTAGGAATTGTCCATAGTCAGACACTCAAAACTGTGGACTACCTGTATATTAAAAGCTGCTTTGAAAAATAATGAATTATGTGACACTCAGGTGATAAAGTACAAATAGGACTGGCTAAGAAAGATTCACGAGAACTGAACATGTAGCAATGAAGTAATTAACAAGTTTTGTGTTAGCCTCAAAATCTGCAAACTTTGTCTGGTTGAATATAACTTTTATTCAAGATAGTATTAGTAATGCGAAAAAATGAATAAACTTTCAAACATGTGACTATAATCAAATAATAGCAACTGGAGGAACAATAGACTTTTGCTTCTCTTTTACCAGAATATCAAAATCTCTGAATGATCATAATGGAACAAAAGAAATCTTGCATTACTGTAACACCGTATCACCTAATATGGCTTAGTAAAAAGCATGTGTGCCATATTGTAAACAACAGGAGTCCACTGTTCCTTTAAAAACAAAATCAAAGCCAAACTCACTCCCATCAAGTCAATTCCAATTCAGAGTGAACCTATGGGGCAGGGTAGAACTGTAGGCTTCCAAGACTGTACATCTTCCTGGGAATAGAAAGCCTCATCTTTCTCGAGACGAGCAGTGGGTGGTTGCAAACAGCTGACCATGCAGTTAACAGCCTAACAGACATTCCATTACGCCACCAGAGCTCCCCTCCTACCGTCTTAGAGGCAGAGACATAGATATTAGGTTCACAGAGAGACCGAGCTCTTACTTCATATGCTTTATTTTGTAAACTTTAGTCCATTAAATTGTGGCCTATTGAACTTTCATGTGCCTACACCTCCCTTAAGGTACCGTTAAATATCAACTGCGATTTATTAACTCTGTGGTGCTGTAGACTGTGCATGTCTAACCAGCTCCCAAGTAGCTGTGATGCTGCTGAACATGGACCACCACATGTTGAGAAGAAAGGCATTTAGGTACAGCTTGTGAACGTAATTTTCACTATGCGGGTAGATAAATGAAAATCATTCCATGACATGGGCTACAATATCTATGTGTATAAGAGGAGTATGATGATATCTATAATATTTTTTTTTATTAGATACGTTTAAAAAAGTCGTAGATCACTTTGGAAGACTGGACATTTTGGTCAATAATGCTGGAGTGAATAATGAGAAACAATGGGAAAAAACGCTGCAGATTAATTTGGTAAGCTCTGTTAGACATAACTTTTACCTGAAATTGTCCAAGAATATGATGTTTATAAAATCGACAAAATCAGGTTTCTTATGTACCTACAGAGAAAATGACAACCTATAATAATGTCAAGATAGAAAGAAATAACTTAACATAAGCAAGAAAAAGCATTCCCTTCCACAACTAGGAAGGCACTCGAGACTCCTTGTTATTGAAATGAATCTGTAATGAAATATTAAATAAAAATGTGTTTTCAATGCATATTTAAAAACTACATCATCCCTATGAATGTAATTTTGTCTTAACAGAGGAGACTTTCAACTCCTGCAGTTACAGTCTCAGAAGCCCACACGGACAGTTCTCCCTTGTCCTGCAGGGTTATTAGGAGTTGGAACCGACTCAAGGGTAGTCAGTTTGGTTTGAGGACAAGCTAAAAATGATGTTTATATAGTTAATGGTTAGAACAAAAAGTCAACAAGAATACGAAATACGACATTCAAATTGGAGTGTCTATAACTTCATAGTGGAACAGATCCGCAGTCATTATTTGCACATGTCTACGAGTGCGTTCATGCTCATAAAGCAACATAATGAAGATAAAGTAGTTGGAACAAAGACTCAACGACACACGGTGCAGAAATATTTATTATGTGAACTTCTATAGAAAAGATTTCTGAATCTCTGTCTTAACTTATTTAGTTTAGAAATAAATTTTAATTAAACATTAAGAATGGCAAAACACAAAGTAACTATTGAACATTTTAATTTTTTAGATTTTTATCTTGAAGGTCTCTATGTATGTAATTTCTACCTACCTGCGTGTGTATTTTCTATGAGAGTTGATGATTATATAGTTCTACATGATCTTATAAGAAGGTAGAATCAAAGAAGAAAAATTCTTTTATCCTTTATATCATGAGTTTAATCACATTTCACAAACACACTTGACAGAAGACACTGGGAGTTAGTACATTTAAAATTTAACCAAGGTGGAGTATTAGAGCCAGGCTGTGCCTGGGGAGCCTTGGCCCTCAATAAGACAAGTCCTTCTAGGTTTGCAAAGCAAGGTCATGCAAGGTCCAAGGTGACATTGTGTGTATACAAACACATGGAGTGACCTTGCACTTTGTGATATCCTTGTAGAAGTTTATGAACTGCTTAAAATTCGGAACCTTTCTAGTTATATGTATTTTTTGTTCTTCTCTTAGTAATCAACACATGTCTTGTCTTCAAGATAGTGCTCAGACAAGAAATGAATTAAAATTATAATAAAGAGTGAGTTTCTGTAATAATATACTTTGCTGGAGGGAATGAGAATTATACTACCTCACACAAGAGCTGAATCTGTAAATTCCCCCTTGAGAAGAGAACAAAGCTGCTTCCCACACTTGACAGACGCCTCAAATCCTTTACTTGAGAACAAAGTGTGCTATTTTACTCTTTGGCTGCTTTCCTTAAAATCTGTCTAAAGTGTTCCTAAGTCATTGTGTTTCAAGATAGCTTTATATCTATGGAGTTTCCCTTAAAATCTTTTGGGGATTCGGATTGGAAATCTATTATTTAGTTTGGAAATAAATATATATATTAATTTGGAGAGACCTATATCATTACCAGGCTAAGTCCAAACTATTCATTATGTTAGGCCATCTTCAGATAGCTTTTGTTCCAATATAACTGTTTTTCTCTATAAAAGTCTCTGTATTTCTCATAAGGATTATTCCAAAATACTTCATCGTTTGTTAAAAATCTTTTCATTCTATCACACTTTGTAATGCATCGTTGAAATTTGTATTTGGATCTGGTTTGAAATTTTACTTTTATTTCACTATTGTGTCCTGTTGATATTCTTGGATTTTTCTAAGGCATATATCTTTATGCCTTAAATTTCTTTCTCTTAGCTCATTAAGTGGGCTGGAATCTTTAGTACAGTTTTGATGATGGTAAACTACGTGCTCTTGTGCCTAGACATAGATACCTTGTATCATAGCGTTTTAAATAATTAGTTTGTCATTAAGGAAGTTCACTCTTTCCTAATATTTCAAAACATTTTATCAAGTTAGGCAATGAATATGGCAGATGAATTTCCTGCGTAGAGACATTTCTATGATTTAGTCTAATAAGGTAGTGAAATAAAATGAAATATTTTCTGAAGGTAAAGAATATTGCTATTTCTTAACTAGACCTTGTTTTACCTTAACATATCAATATGTAATACTCCTTTGAAGCATGTTAATTGAAATCTGATTTAATTACCTACATTAAGTACTTATAAATTCCATTATCCTTTTTTCTTTACCCTTATAATTTTTCTATCAGGTTTATATGTTGATTATATTTCTTATTGCTTTTGTCTCCTTGATCTATCAGTTTCTGAACAGAAGGTGTTCATATCTCCAATTACAATTATTAATTTTTCTTACCTAGCTTAGTAATTCCATCATTTAGGAGCTTTTTTAGGTTTTTAAAGCCTATAATATCTGGAATATAAATGCTGATGATGACTACAATCCCTTGATCTTTGGGTAACTTATGTTATACATCCACTCTCTGCTTCTGGACTTTTGGATTCCACTGTGCAGTTCCTTATATAAATTGTTCATCCTATCATTTTTATTTGGGTCATACTTACCTAGGGACATCTTTTTCATTGCATTATTTTGAAATATAAATACTTTTCTTGACAGTATATTGTATTATCTACTTTTTAAAACTCACAATGGAGAACATCTGGCTTTCATCTCTGACTTTAATCCGTTATGTCTATTTTTACTCTTTACTCTTTTATCAGGAACAATTGTGAGGGTGGGTGAGGCCAGGCAGTGTTTTGTTTGGTTGTACATAGGGTCTCCCTGAGTCAGAAACAACCAAACACCATCGAACAATAACAACAACCAGGGCTCACTTTATCCACGTTAGTACATCTTTTCTTTTTACTAAGTTTTCTTTTGGTTTTTTTTTTTTGTGTGGCTTTTATTTTTCTGTCTTTTACTAAATTCAGTTGTATATATTTAAATTTTCTCTTCCAGTAAGAAAACTATCATTTTATTCTTAATTTTTGGTGACTATCCCTCATGTCTTAAAAATGAAATTTAATTATATCCTTTGTCTGCAAAGACAAAAGGTGTTGAATATATACTGTGCTTGGTAAACTAGAAGGACTGTAAAACAGAGAAATCCAACCAGGTGGAGTGACACAGTGGCTGAAGCAGTGGGCGCAACCACGCCAACAACTGTGGGGATGGGCCAGGAACTTCTGCTATCTACAGGGTTGCTAAGGGTTTGAACCAACCAGGCGGCACCTAACAACAAAAGCAGACAACTAATTGGGAATTGCAGGAAGTTTTAAGAATTCATTTTTACAAGCTTATGTCACTCTCTAAAGCTGCATCAACTGATGGAAAATGTTTGATTTAAACTGTGCTAGTGGACTAGCACAAATTGCACAGTAACTTTCTCCCATTACTTGCACTAAGAGGTAAAGATGGTGAGACTTCATCTTACACACTTTGGACATGCAGTCAGCAGAGACTAGTCCTTAGAGGAGGACATTATGTTTGGTAAAATTGAGGGGCTGTGAAAAAGAGGAGTGAGGTAGATTGGTGTCATGATGGCAACAGTGGGTTCAAGCAGAGGGACAATGTTGAGAACGGTGCAGGGCCAGGCAGTGTTTTGTTCTTTTGTGCATAAGATTTCTACAAGTCAGAACCGACTCATTGGCACAACAACAATGCTATCTCTAAGAGTTTGTTCAGTAGTACCTATAAATTTTACAGATAATGAGTAATAGGATATTAAGTTCTTACAATTGGTACATTCATAATGGGCAGCTGACTTTCTGACATTTTTTTTCTCTAAAAACACAATGTGAAATGATTACAATTAATATAAATAACAATGAAAGTGAACTAGGAGCCCTAGTGGCATTGTTGGGTGAGCATTGAAGGCTAATCACATGGTAGCAGTTCAAACTCACAAGTTGTCTTTGGCAAGAGTTAGAAAGCCTTGGGAACCCTACATAGGGTCCCTGTAGGTCGGAATTACCTCGATGACAGTGGGTTTGTTTAGGTTTATGAAAGTGAAAAGAGAAGAGATGATCATGAAGATAATAGTATTGGATTTGCTTTTCTGCTACAGATGAGAGGGATATATTACTTACTTTACATACTGAGGGTGAGTACACACCTGCGCCAGGACAGAAAGTTCCTACGTTGTTTGCAGATAGGAAATTATGAAAGAACAGGGACATTTTTGGTGACATCTTCTGCTATATCCAACTCTCCTGGCCCTTTCTTCATTGATGTTGAGCCTGCCTTTACTTTCCCTTTGACTCTGCTTCTGTGGGTTACTCCTTTACTTCCCCCCGGGGACGAAGGCCGTTTTGTTTAAGTTCACATGCAGAAAACAACACATGGCCTTTGTTACCCATATATTACTTTAAAAAGTCTTTCTTCTCTTCCTGCTTACACTTATTAAAGTCTAGATTGGAATCTGACCAATCATTGTCCTTCCAACTTGATTATCTATAAACTGAACTTCAAATATTTGCCTTTGGTTTATAAAATCATTTATGTTTAATCTCCAACTCTGCAGGAGTTGACTTCCTTGGATATATCTCATTTTATCTGTGCTGATTTGAATGTGTTTCTAAGCCACTGCCCATCAGAGCATAAGCACTGAGATAAAACCCTTAACCAAATGCCTCTCACTCTTCTGAAAACTTGTAACAACTTAGCTCTACAGTTTTCCTGAATGTTCACTATTATAAAAAAGTTATTAGCAATGTTTTTGTTCATATGCACATGTATACACAAAATCCTGCTTTTGTGTCCTCACACAGTAGCTGTCTACTTAATTGGATCAATCAACTGGAACTACATGATCTGTTCCATTTGGGGAGATTCCATTCTGTGCGTTAGCATAATGCTTGGATACATTCCTCAAGCAGCAATGTTACCAAACATATCATCTGTCCTTCCCCTTTTACACCTTGCCAACCATATCTCTCCTTTATTCTTCACTCACACAATCACACCACTCTTGCCACACAAAGGACACACAAAACCTCTTCCTAGTCTTTTCTTTCTGTTAGGCCATTCCATGGTTCTCCACTAGTCTGAAGCCAATCGCCTTATTCCAAGCTGCTGAAATTCCACAAGAATGTTCACGAATGAAAGAGATTTTACAAAATTATAAATAAGTTCACTCTAGCAATTAGGCAGAAGTAGAATAAGTTAATGAGACAATCCTAAAATGTATCTTTTCTATTTTAACTTCTAGAAGCTTTAATAAACCAAAATAATTCATTCACTCTCCGGTGAGACTTACCCTGTAATTTGGACATGTAACTATAGTTTCAGTTCTTTCTTTATCAGTGTATGAAAATTAAACCAATTAGATAGCTACCACTGATGATGATGATGATTACTATAAAAAATACACTAGCTCATTAAAGATCTTCAATAGAAAGGATGGCATTTGGAATTAGTCAAAATTACAAATGAATTTGACTACAATTTATAAGCTATTATTTAATGTCTGACAATATATTTCCTAATTGATGAAGATGGATGAGAAGCTCCTTACCTCTGAGGATTATTAAACTAATATGAACTATAATGTACAGAAAATACCCAGTGCAGTTTTGCTGCATAATATTGCACTTATTTTTCCAAATTGTCAAAACTGACATTTTCTTCATTTCCACTATCCCGTGCATATTTGAAAGGGGAAAAAATAGAGATGACAGAAATTACTGAAGTCTACAAGAGTGCCTTAAATTCTTCCTGTCTCTACCTCTTAGACTTCAGGAAATATACCAAAACACTGCTGTTTGATATTATAATAATGCAACTTGTAAAATGTGAGTGTAAATTATTGCTCAAGAATGTAAGTTCAAATCATTACTAAAATATTTTCTTTTTCTAACAAATCTTTTCCTATATGATTGAGAATAAGATATTGTGATAGTAAAAAGAAAGAGACTAAAAACATATACACACAGCCAAGGCATTAGATCTTGTGTATAGATTCACCCTAGAACGCTTTCCTTCAGTGCTTAAGCTGATAATGCACGAGAAAAATAATCCCTTTTTCTACTCCACTAAAGACCTGGCAAGAAATCCTGCTTTTTAAAAATTAAAAATGCAGCTTAAACTTTCCCTAATTTCCTACCTGGCTGCATCTTATAGATGTTGAAAACATAAAAGCAAGGTGTCAGCAAAGCTGTAAATACCAGAGAATAAAAGCATAGCGCCAATACATGTAAATAGAAATTCTGTTCAGACATGCTAGAGACTTGTTCAGAAACTAACAGAATATAACTGACTTCAGTAATTTTAGCCATCTACATTTTTCCTCTTGTATCAATAATAAATGTTTTAGTTTTACTTTTTTTAAGGAGCACATGGAGATTTTACTCATTCCTCTTAAACCTACTTTATCAAACTGCCATATGGCTTACATGAAAAGAATCTCCCATTGTTAAGTAAGGGAAGCATAGCCAAATGCTTCAGAAAACCCCCAAGAGAAATGTTTTTACTGGAAAGAAGGTAAATTGCCCTCAATTTCAATTAGCTATCCATTGTATCATTTTCTCTATTGTACTCAAAGGCCCCCCCAAATAGAATTAAATTGTTAAAAATAAAAAGAGTAATTTCCACTTTCAAAAGTCTGAACTGGAAGAGAGACGCATTCCTAGGGAGCCATATATCACTTCCATCTCGAGAATTGTTTTTGGTAAAGTGCGGAATTCTAAAACGCTGGAATGAAAACAGGAAAGTGCTTGTATTGGGAGGTGAGAAGCAACGCAGATTAAGCTATTAAGTGGATAGGGAGAAGCAATGATGAGTACACTTAAATGAAAGACAGGTATTCTTAAAGACTAAATTTTAAGTCACAAGAGTGACATTCAAAGCGGAAGAATCATGTGATCTCACCCAAGAGAGAGCTCCAGGGTTTTTGATACTTATGCCCTGTGTTCTGATCAGGACCCCTTCTCTCTTCATCCCTCCCAACCGCCATTCTTTAAGTGGACTCGTCTTTCAACTCACTGCCATCCAGTCAATTGTGACACACAGCGACCTTATACGACAGAGTGGAACTACCCCTGTGAGTTCCCAAGACTGTAACTCTTTAAGAGAGTAGAAAGCCTTGTCCTTACCCGGTGGGGGGGAGTGAAGCGGCTGGTGGTTTCAAACTGTTGACCTTGAGGTCAGCAGCCCCAAACTGAGCCACAGGGCACCTTTGACTTCACCTTTAAGATGTTTGAATTGTGAAGGCTTAGTTTCAGCTATTGCATCCGTACCTAGCAATGTAACCAACTCTTCCTGGGTTTCTTAATAGCAAGAAAAATGTTGGAGCAGAAACAATCCAGTCCCCCTACCTCCCCAGCTTTTCCTCGGATCTCTCTGACCAAAACTTAATCGTGTGTGCATTCCTCAGCTGGCAAAGAGAATGAGATTTCCACAAATGGATTTGATAGGTCGTGTTGAAACTGAAGCTGAGAAGAACACCTGTACTACATGGAGGAGAGATGGATGCAAAAGCAAAATGGAATTTCACTAGAAATACAAATAGGGATAGTGAAGAGTGTAGGGAATCAAGCATCCTTTCATGGTCCAAGAGTAGATGAAGGGGAGAGAGCTAGACATTCAAATCAAATGCTAAGAGAAAGGTAAACTGATTCTGTGAGTAATACTTAGACAAGAAAAAGGATGAATGGTATCCTTGAAGATTATGAATAGTTGGTTAAAATTACAAAACAGTGTTTAAACATAACCTCTGTCATAGACTTCATATTGGGCAGCACAAGGCAGGGTTTACAGCAATGTGAGATGTTCCACAACCATTTGGCAAATGACGAAAAATCCAGAGTAACTGATAAGCATTTTTTTTTAAAAAGGAAGTAGAAAGAGAAAAAGTTCCCTTCAAGACTTTGTATTGATAAGATGTTCTAGATGTTGGTAATAACAAGACTTTCAGTATGTGAATCGATAATAAAGGATAACGGCTATGTTGGTTTTTTCCCCACTTATACCTCTGACTTAGGTTTCTGTTATCAGTGGAACCTATCTTGGCTTGGATTACATGAGCAAGCAAAATGGCGGTGAAGGTGGTATCATAATTAATATGTCATCTTTAGCAGGTAAGGACAACTTTAATGTTATCTTTCACGTTTCTTACTAGTAATTTGAACCACCAAAATTAACCTTCAAAGTTAGTTATTGCCTCCTCATTTTTGAAGTTGAACTTCTGTGTAATTATTTTGCTTTTAAAAAAATTATTATTCATTGGGAGTTACTACAGATATCATATCATTCCATAGTTCAATCACATCAAGCAGAATTGTACAATTGCTACCACAATAAGTTTCCAAACATTCTTTTGCTTCCTGGACTCTTTGATATGGTCTCCCTTTAACATACCTCCCTCACCCACTGTACCTCGCCCCCCTCCACTCTGAAACCCTTATTTGACTTGTGGCCTGTATAGGTTCATCAGTCCTGGGTTTGTTCCATTTGTGTTTTAATGGTTCTGTTGAAGCGTCTATTGAATGATATCACAAGGGTGACGTATATGTTTATTTCTTTTCAACTAGAGTTTTCTCTATTTACTTTACTATGGTGATGTTAACGTTATATTTACATATGTTTTCACAATGCCACTATTTTTCATAGATGATTGTGAAACTTCTGAGTAATAATGCACATAACAGCACATTTGACCACATAAAAAGTACTAAAACAAAATTAAGCCATCTCTATTCCCATGTGATTTTAATAAGACCATGTAATATGGTGTATATATTTGCTCAAGTATGCTACACTCATAATAAATATACTTGAGCATCAAAAAACTCGAATTCAAACTGCTATGGAATTGATTCTGACACACAGCCCCCAAGAGAGCAGAGTAAAACTGCTCCGACAGGTTTCCAAGACTGTAACCCTTCACAGGGGAGCAAATCTAGTCCTTTCCCCACAGAGTAGTTTGCTGTTTCAAACTCCTGACCAACCTGATAGAAGCCCAATAGAGAACCCATGACACCACTTGGGCCCCCAAATAAGCGAATTCCTTTGTATCATCAGCCAATAGTTTGGAAAATCAGGCTGAGGGTAACTCTATAATCTTTAGCATGGAGAGTCTGGGAAACACAGTCTAGCTGTCTGCCTGGGGAAAGAATGGATTTCAGTGGAAAGCTAATCATCTTTCCCACAGCATGAAATCCAAAACTCTGCTTTATGCAGAACAGTGTGATTTAATATGAACTAATATAATATCACTCAATAGCAGCTATAAATAGTCGGTAGGAATTTTTGGAGCAACATAGCCATGTTATTTTACTTTTAAAGTGCTGGAAGAAAATCTTAAAATTATTACTGGTTCTTAAATAAGGCAGAAGTGGGTAAACCTCCCAAACTAAACCATTCAAACAAATCCTTGCCTGCAAGTCCAACTCATGGTGATTTGATACCGACTCTTGGTCACCTGGCGGTGCTGTGGCAAAAACTAAGTTTGACACAGTTAAACTTTAACAAGGTTAAGACTGCTAACAACAAGGTCAGTGGTTCAAATCCGCCAGTTGCTTCTAGGGAGAGAGATTGAATGAACTGCTCCTCTAAAGATGTATAGTCTCTACATGGGGCGGCTCTGAGTTGGCATCGACTCAGTGGCAGTGGGGTTTTCACATGTATTTACTTGTATGGAGCACTTTCATTTGCTCTTATCCTGTTTTAAAACACTGTGCGTGCCTTCATCTGTCCATTCCTTACAATTGCCCTATTAGTAGATTCTGTAACTTCCAGTTTATAGATGAGAAGACTACAGCAGGAGGGTTTAAGTTTCCCCCCCAAGTTTACACAGCCAGGAAGAGACGGTGCTAGAATTCAAATGCAAGCAACGTGACACAAAACCTCTTGCTCTTACACACTAGATTATCTATCTCCTCTATAAATTTGTCTTACAAGCTATTTCTCTCTGCCTTTCTCAGTCTAACCAAGGAGAAAAGAAACTGAAGTCTTGTGACTTCATTGAACGCCCCCAAACCAAATTTGCTTCCACTGAGTTGATTCTGACACATAGCAGCCCTATTTAGAGTGTCTGGAGCTATTAATCTTCCTGTGAGCAGTTAACCTGATCTTCCTCTGTCAGAAAGCACCACCAGGACTCTGTTGGGACTAGAATGAACTAGTGCAATTTGTTGATCTCCTCAGGCTACGTGGGAACTGCTTTGAACTCAAGGTTATCGCCAGCACTTGAGGGAAATCTTAAGCTTGTGCCCCCTCTTTGACACACAGTAAAAGCCTTGGAAACATCTAGGCGCTCACCAGAGTCACAAGTCAAAACATGCCATCGTGAAGAGCAAGTTAAGGCTTATCGTTGGGTAAGCCTTACCGTTTTTGGCTTTCTTGGATAATAGCTTGCTTTTTATTATACTCCCTACTCTTGGATACTAATTCTATTTTTAATGTGAGGTCCTTTCTCTTATCAGGCTGGTAAAATAGTTCATTGATATAAATTCATGATGAGATTGTTTGGGGGTTGAAAGTACATTTCCGCAATGTTATTGTCAAAATCTAGTGACCAGCAGAGCTTTCTAAATCCTGCTCTGTGTTACAGCCATCCTAACTCACAAGAAACCCCCATTACGATGATCGAGTACCTTACATTTATTGTTGCCCAGTCTGCTTGATTGATACCCACTCTCATTTAGGAGTCCCTGGGTGATAGGGATTGCTAAGCGCTGATGAATGGACACTTAACTACTCACCAAAAGAGTAATAGTGAGGAATCCACCCAGTCGTGCCTCAGCAGCAAATGCCGGTCACCTGCTTTCAAGTGATCACTGTCGGGAAAACGCTGCAGCACACAGTTCTACTCGGGACAAACGGATGATCAGGATTTGGAGCTGACAAGATGACAATTTGCAAAGGCCTTTGACCGTGTGGGTCATAGCAAACTATGATAGCGTTGAGAAGAAGGTGTACATACGGTTTGTATCCTTTCACCATACTTCTTCAATCTGTTTGCTGAGCAAATATTCCCACAAGCTGGGCTTTATGACATATGTGCCATCAAGATTGAAGGAAGGCATTATAAACGGCAATATTCCCTCAAAACTACCTTGGCTTGCTTCAAATGAAGAGGACTGGAAGTACTTGCTGATAAGATCAAGGATTGCAGCCTTACGTGTGGATTGCAATTCAACGTAAAGACCAGAATCTTCCTAACTAGACCAATAGGTAACATCATGATAAATTGGGAAAAGATTGAAGTTGTTGAGGATTTTGTCTTGCTTGGATCCACAATCAATGCTCATGGAAGCAGTAGTAAACAGATCAAAAAATGTGTTGCATTGTGAAATCTGCTGCCCAAGACCTCTTGAAAGTGTTGAAAAGCAAGGAAGTTACTTTGAGGACAAAGGTGTGTTTGACCCTAGCTATGGTATTCTCAATTGTCTCGGGCATGTGAAAGTTCTATATTGAATAAAGAAGAGTGAAGAAGAATCAGCGCATTTGAATTATGGTTCTGGTGAGCAATATTAAAAGTAGTTTGTACTACCAGAACAGACAAATCTGTCTTGGAAGACATTCAGCGGGAAGACTCCTTCGAGACAGGGATGGTAAGATTCCATCTCACATGCTTTGGACATGTTGTCAGGAGAGATCAGTTTCTAAGAAGGACATCATGTTTGGTAAAGCAGAAGGACAGCAAAACAGATGGATTGACACGGTGACTGCAACAATGGGCTCAGAGGAAAGAATAATTATGAGGGCAGCTCAGGAACTGGAAGTATTGTGCTCTGTTGTCAACGTAGGGTGGCTTTAAGTCAGCAATGACTCAATGGTGCCTACTAACAGATGACTAATCGATGTTAGAAGGACAGCTAGAATGCTACTTAGAAGCAAGGATGGGGAGACTTCATCTCGGGAATTCTGGACATGCTATCAGGAGAGACCAACCCCAGGAAATGGGCATCATGCTTGGTAAAGGGCCAGCGAAAAAGTGGGAAACCCTTGACACCACAAATTGCCTTAGTGGCTGACCCAATGGGCTCAAACATCTGTATAACTGGAGGCTGGCACAGGCCCTGCCAACATTTGGGTCTGTTAGACATAGGGTTGGTATGCGTTGGAACCGACTCAAGGGCACCTCACAAAAGCAACCGTGTGGGAAGATTTCCTTAGCACCCTCCCTTCCTAAGCCATAACCTCCATGTCTGATGCGTATGCCTCCTGTGAAGTCATAGCATGTAGGCAGACATCAAAGGATCCAAAAAGTCCGAGAAAGTATAAGATTCAAAGCATTTCTAAGGTCTCCTCCCTGTGTTATCCAAAACTTCCTTATTCACGTAATTCTCTATCCACTGTACTGTTTTCTCCATTCAGAGACTATCTGTGAATAATGTTCGATTCAGGAAGGGTCTTTCCTCATGGTTTCTTGCATAGATTCAGTAGAGTGCTTCCCTGTCATCAGAAAACTTTAAGTTAACACACTGGTTTGGGCAGAGAAGTTAATGAGTAATGACCACTGGCGTAGGCAGTGGATCACAGGCAATTAATAAGTTTAACAAACAGAAGAGGATGTAAAGTGGAGAGTGATTGCTCAGCACTTGGAGGAAAGGGTGTGCTCCAGTCTGGAGCACCAAAATGCTCTGGTCATTAATCACAGGAACTCTTCTACACCAATGTTTCTCCTCCGTCAAGCATATGCTTACTTTGATTTATTTTGTTAATGATTCCTTAACTCAAAATGAGAGAGAGAGAGAGAGAGAGGCAATAGAGTAGAACACAGTATGGTTAAATGAAGATAATTAGTTCCACTTCTCTAAGCCATTTTGTAATATTTGTCAAATGCCCTTCATACATTATCAGTTGTTGGAATAGATGAGAAAGAAAAATTAGTCACAGCAATGGCCTGGTGCTCCAAAACCCTTCCCGCAGTTGCCTAACACTTCCCCATTCCGTCTGTGTGTTCTCTGGGGACATTCTGCACACCTCGCGGGGGAAATGGCAGTCGATGGCATTGGTGACAGTTGCTGTCTTCAATATCAGCTCCATGACAGATCCATTTGTGCTGCAAGTTTTATCTAAAATAAGCATAAGGTTGTAGAGTTCATGAAGGTGCATGTGTTAATGTAGCCAC